CGGGAGTTCCCGCTGGGCTCCAAAGGCTTGCGGATAGCTGCCTGTTCTGGGGGCTGGGGAAGCTCGGGCTTCCCCCGTCCCCAGCCCCGCAAGCCCCGGCGAGGTTGCGCGCAATCTCGCCGCCGCTCCTGAACCTGTTTTGGGGGCTGGGGTCAGGGGAAGCTCAGGCTTTTTTTTATTATCCCCCCCCAAAAAAAAACTAGGTGCGCCCTATGGTCTGGTGCGCCCTATTTAGCAAAAAAATACGGTAAATATACACCAGGATTATCCACACAACTCTTGACCGCCCAAAGCAAAATATGAGCTTTGGTACTATTACTGCCCCATTAACCCAGATTTTCTTCAACTATGTCACGGGAAGAGTCCCCACCCCATGGTTGTGTCTTCCCCAACTAAAAGCCACTTTAGGGAAAGGTGCCTTTTTTTTTACATTGATTGCATTGCTCACCATCTTATAGCAATTTTGACCCATTAACAAAGCCTTCAGACTATACATGATCACAGAACTGGAAAGGCATTCAAGATGGCCTGGAAGTGTAGGATGATCTCTCCCACCCCCTCCAAGTTTGCTTAGGGGAGGCCACTCTTGCCAACTGATTGACAATAGGGGGAAGATAAAAGCTTGGCAGCTAAGAGCAAAGCAGAACGAGGCACATGGCACAACTAGAAAAGCCCTGCCTTAGCAGCTCCCATTGCGAACACAAATGTCTGTGATGGCTATTATGAGCAAGCAGCAATCTGGAAAACTCATAATGGGGAGAATTCTGCTCCCATCCAAGCATGTGCCAGAGGAACTCCTTCTAAGATAAACTGTAGCACGGGCAAATGGTGTTTGGTTTTTTACACCGGGAATACCCAGTTTCCAGCACACCATAAATTGTATTTTGCTGGTATTATAGGTTTGCAAGGTAATATTGCACCAGATATTGGAATGAATTTTTAGCAGCATAGCAACAAGAGTAGCATCAGCAACAGCACAATCTGTCACCTATGAGGCATCTGAATGAGGTGGAAAAGGGAAAAGATCACATGGGTGAAAAACAGATTCAGGAGGGGGATACATTATGGGAGACAAATCTTTGTGTGGATTAGCTAAAATTTGTAGAATTTTGGAACTGAAGATAATGCCAGTATGCCTGTGCTCAATTTGAAATGCCTTGTAATCAGAACAGAATGGTTATTTTATTTTATAGTGATAGCACTATCCAGTAATAATATAAATGGAAAAAAGAATTGAAAGCAGTAAACTTCTGTGCACCAACCCTAGCTTGATTAGGGCACTAGCAACCTTATTTTTATTTATTATATTTATATCTATCCTGCCCAACGTCCTAAAGGAGCACATACAGAAATATAGATACAGATAGATAGTATTTGTTATAGAGAGAGAGAGAGAGAGAGAGAGAGAGAGAGAGAGAGAGAGAGAGAGAGTTCTAACTGAAAAGGCATTTCCATGCTCAAGAAAATGGCCTGAGAATGCAAGCAACTGCACAGACGTAGAGACTCAAGTCAAGGCAACGTGAACCAGTTGGCTAAGCACAGAATTAATGAACGGATTTCATGGCTAAAAGTAAGCCCAGGCAAGTGCCAAAAACAAGCAGGAGAGAAAGATGGAACTCTGAAGCATGTAAGATTCCCCCACAGAAACACAGTTAAGAGGGAAAATTCCTCCTCTAACCAGCCTTCCAGGCAGTCAACCTTTTTTTCCCGAGTTCTCTCTCCCCTTTAAGTTGAGAAGGCCAGCTATAAATTAGTAGCTCCTAAAATAGAAGTCCCCCAAGAGCAAAGACAAAGGCAATTAATGATGATGACCAAAATCTGCTTAATTTGGCATAACTGCTTGCACTCTTGGGAAAAGCCAACTGAATCTGGCAAAGGTGTAAAGAACACTTTATAACATGCCAAAGAGGAACATTATACTGAACCTATGTGCCTGCTAGTCAATATTTACTTCATTTACTGCAGAACTCTACAGCACTAAATTTCCAACAGAAAATGTAGAGTTTTAGATTCTCTTTCTACGTGAACAAATTGTTCAAAAGGGCTGCTGTGAATAAACACAACTCAGCCAGAATTTTATTCCTACCTCTCTCAATTATGGGTGAAACAGAGGCTACTTGCTTGGGTGTGTGGTTTTTTTTTAATGTTTTCATCATTAATTATTACATAGTTTATTACAGACAAGTAAGTATAAGATAGTTAACCTGCACTTATGTTAAATCTGCAGCAGAATCCACACAAAAATGGGATCCTGTATTCCCCCATCTTCCTGGGGAGAGAAAAGAAGTCTGGTTATCCTGCAGGACCTTTAGCATCAATAAGACATAAGACAACTCCCTGTTTTTTTGCTTTAGTTTTTTTTAAAACAAATGATATTCAGAGGCATGGATAAGACCCACTGATAGTGTTATCTTCATTTGGCTGATCATTTGTACCCAGCTCCACAATGATGTTGTTTGAAACAGAAGTCCTATGTTAGGTCACTTCAATGCATATGTGATTTTAATATACAACTAGATAGCTGGTATGAAATTTTGTAGTATCGTGGAACACATTGTTATACGCCACCCCAATCTCTGACGGATGTGAGATTCCAGGGGTTCAGGTGGTCTGTGGTTCCTTTTCGACAATGAGGCACAGTGGAAACTATGGCGTCTTTATGATATATGGTTTATTTACAGATATATACAGCCTGAGCCTAGACAGAGGAGCTCCCAGGATTATACCCCCAACAGATATTTTGCTTCTTCCATAGGGGCAGTAATCTTGGGCTCAAAATAGAAATTAGCCATGCTCTCTGTCTCCTACAGCCTGTCATAGTCAGCCCACCTTGTATACTGCCCCCCACCCACAGCAGCCTGCCTTGTGCTGTACCCCCCCCCTTCCTGCCTGTCACCACTAACAGACTGGAACAATTTCTCTCTAGCTTACTTCATCCAAACTGAAATCCTACACCCTTTAAACCCTTTTTGTCTCTACCCACTAACACACAGCCAGATGAGGTTCTCCACTGACTATGCTGTTTGGTGTAGCCTTGCCTTCTTAATGGCTTTCCTGATGGGATAGCTTTCTTGATTATAGCTATTACCAGGCTGGTCTATCTTGCAGTGGCGTAGCGTGGGGGGTGCAGGGGGGGCCGGCCGCACCAGGCGCAACATCTGGGGGGGGCGCGCTCGCACTCGCAGCTCTCTGCTCCTACTAAAATCCACGGGTTAGGGGGTGCAAATTACTTGCCTTGCCCCGGGTGCTGACAACCCACGCTACGCCACTGCTATCTTGCTAAAATAAACTTAATCCAGGGGCTCAGTGTTTGGCACAGTTTAACTGCCCAAACCTCGATTAAAATCTAACTTTAAATAGACCCAGGAATTTAGGGTGTCTCACATCCCACAAACTCATAACAATAGAATTCTGCAAGAAATTACTAATACTAATCTTGGCTTGACCACTTTTCCACACACACAACTGCCTACTCCCAGCCATACTCAGAAGCAAATGGTGGATAAAGTTGAGTTGCAGCAGAGGAAATAGGAATAAGCAAAGCAGGTGTCATAACAGATTTCTCTGGGGCTGAAACTGAGGAAATGGGCTGGGAGGGGGAGAAGCTCTGAATTACCCTTGCAGGAGAAAATCAGCCTAAAGTGAGTGCCAAAAAAGTAAGGAAACTCACAGGAAGAAGCTCCCTGGGAGACCCTAGGAGAGAACAGCTGCTCCAAGAAAGGCCACATGTGCTCTCCTCCTCCCTCCCTTCTCTCCAACATGCACTCCCTCTATACTGGTAGAATTCAGTTCCTGACCAGGTATTTGTGAATGTGTGACAGGGAGTGCGTATACACATGGAGAGGATAGAAAATGTCCATGTACATTTAAAAACAGGAGAATGTACTGAAACTTTCACATTTTACTCCCTTAAGAGAGGCCACTTGGAAGAATAAATTGAGTGGGTCTTCTGAAATGGGGTCTCCCAAGTGAAAAATTCAGGGAAGCTACTTCCTGCCCACAAGCAAATCTAATCTTATGGGGAAAAACTACACAAACGTAACTTTTCAAAAGCTGATTTAAAAATCAAGTCAACAGCACGTATGTAATGGGCAGGAAAGCAAACGACCATAATTTGCTCTGTTTTGCATACAGGATGGGCACTATATCGTCATGATCAATCAGGAACAGAATAAATTGTAATAAATGTTAGTTAGAAGACGTCTGTAAGTGACCCTTTCCCTCTACAAAATTTCACAGTCCAAATCATGTTATTCAAATTGAAGTAATTCATTTTGCCAGCTAGAACAAACAGAAAGCTAATGGACAAGTAAACTCAACAAGGTGACTCAAACAGCTAGAAGAAAGCTCATTTCAACAACTCCATCACTTCAAAGGATAGCCATCTTAGCTAGTATAAAGGGGTCAAACTCCTGCTTTTTAAAAAAGAACCTATGAAAAAGATAAAGCCTGTCTGCCTTTCGATTAAAATAATTTTATAGTCTCTTTGCTCAGTGTCTAAAAACCAATGAAGGCCTGGAAGATTAAATTAACATCTCCTTAGTTTGCAGAGGAGGGGTTGAAGAGGGCTCCAAGCCACAAATAGTGTACCAGGGACCAAGAAATCCTGTTAGCATCCCTGTTCACCCCCATCCAGGTGGAGCCAGCAGAAGGTACAGGACTGTAAAAATATATAAGGAAGACCACTACACCTGCAGAAGCAAATGCTATTGAACTGGAGCAGACAACATTTTCTTTGTACTCAAAAATTAATAACCAGATGAAATATGCAAAAAAAGTATCAGTATTATTTTGGTCACAGACATAAGATAAAACATGGATAAACTGAACACATAAGACTTAAAACAGGGAAGGTATAAAAGTTGTTAATAAAAAGGTGATTACACCATACATAACTTAAAAAGATAAAAACAAGGACAAAACAGTTGAAAGCGACAAAATGCACTGGTCTTGCATTTTTGGCAAAAAGCTTTAAATATTAAATTAATTCTTCTCTTTACCTTAATTATCTTAGGCACATCATCCATCCATCAGGCATTTGGATCCCATAAAGGTTCTTCAAGTTCTACCTCCTGTAAAGAAACAGATGATGAGTTTTTCAGTTGAAATAAAAATTCCGTAATATCCAAAGGCAACACGATGACCAAATACAACAATGTTGAAATAAAAATTCAGACAGGGAAGATATAATGCTCTAAGAATATGGCAACTAAATTAGAACACCTGGCTGGCAATTGTATTTTCTGGAGGCTTTGGATGCTAAGAAACAGAACTTTGAAGCAGCAGGAAAACCCAGATTTCCCAAAAGGACCATGTTGTGTGTATGTGTGTGAGAGAGAAGATATCTTGGAGAATAATATGGCATTGCTTAGGTTTGGAGGCAAGCCATGTAGGTGCCAGGCAAGCCTCTCAGGAGAGAGATTTCAATGAGAAGGGCACGACAAACAAAAATGCTTGCTCTCCAAGCAACCAGAGGAACATTCCAGAAAATTACCACAACAGGTACGGGAGAACAGGCTTTCCTTAAAATACCTGGGCTAGAAGCATCTCCTCCTCGAAACAAAGACTTTGTGCATTACAGAGAATTTAATTAGCAACACTTGAACACACAAACTGCCCACTGTACTGCCATCAAGGCAGCATGAAATATCCCTTGCAAAACTAAAACCCCACCGGTGGTTTCAACAGTGAAGTGCAGTGAAGATAAAGCAATGGAGCATGGCATATGGCGATCCACTATTGGAGACCGAATGGGAGTCAATGGCCCAGTTGTTTGACCCAACGAGAAAATTATTTTGCTCTCGAATAATTAATTAAATTGAATATTTGTTTATTTATTTCGGTATTTATACAGGCATCTGTATATAGTCCTCTTAAAGTGGTTCGCATCATAATGCAAATTTCACAATAAATGCCACAATTAAATTTTAACGCACCAGGAAAACACAGCACAGCAAAAGCTATTAAATGACACTTAAAAGTCTGGGACAGCCTCAAATTAATAAGTTAAAGAAGATATAAACAGGCAGGTTTGTTTAAATGGGTTTTAAACACTTATATATTGCATTCTAGCCTCATGCATGTGTCCTTTTGAGACACTGTTTGCTATGCATGTTCTGGTTCTCCCCACGCCCCCATCAAAAGGCCGAAGATTACTCCAACAGGCCAACTATTACATAATTCATCACTGTAGAAAAAAGGATGACTTGCTGACATTAGCTTTTGTGTTATAGATTTCTGTTCTGACTTGCTGTAGTACTTTCAAGTCATTAAGCAGCAGCACCCAACATACAGTGATCTGTGGAATATAGAGTTTGAGGCTTGCCTCACCTCTCATCTCTCTTTAATCATCCTGCCCCCAACCTCCAGATCCAGTTCTACTCCCCCTCATCCTCTGATCTGCCAAGCGGATCAAAAACAAAAGATCCCACATGAACGTAATGTACAGAACTAACAAGCATGCTCTGAACTAGTACATGACAGCCTGCCAGGGAGAATAAGGGCTGTTTGCTTATTGATATTTCTCATCAGCTCTGAACTAGAAAGATTTCCAAGTCAAGCAAGCTGGGGGACACGGCATCAAAGGAAACTACTTGGGGGCAATTTGCAAGACAAAAAATGGGGGTTGGGAAGAAGAGAAGCAAAAGCAGATCCACAGAAATATCTAATTGGTTCATTTAGTACCAACTTCCCTTTGCTCAGAAACACAATCATTTACATATCTTTTTCAGCGTGTGCTCTCAGCTGCAATTCCTATTTTAGCAATCCTAAATCCTTGTCTCAGGTCAGTCCGTTGGTGCGTTACGGAACAGGGTGTTGAATCCTTATCTTTTAGTTCCAAACCAACACATTATCCAATAAATAAAAACATTATGCACAGCCACAATTATGTGGCAAGTCTATGAAGGAGTAGAAAAAGCGTCAAATGTGGTGCTAGGTAAAAAAAAATCAGCTTCAAGAGTCAGATTAGCATTGTAAACTGAGCCTCTAGCCCTTTTGCTTAAGCTTGCATGTTCAATGACTCTTAGAAGCCTGGAGGATTTCCAGTTGGATAAAGTCTGCAGATGTATAAAACCAATCATTTAGGAGAAAGAACATGCTCGCAGGTTTCAAGCTAGGGAGAATCAAGTCAAACCTTTTTCAAAAATGTTTACTCCCAAGGCAATGAATTACAATTTTTGAGCTTGTTCACAAGTGTGCAGTGGGAGGTCTTGGCTGAAGAGTGGGGGGTGGCAGGCGAATACTACTTTTTCCTTCCTAGAGGAGGACCAGAACTGGTGCCAAGATACAGGAGTTCTTGAAGGTTGTGTGGAAATGGAAATATACCTCTTAATTAAGAGCTCCTGATTTTAAATTGTGCATCATAAAAACACTGTAAATGCTTTCATCAAAACAAACACTGCACCCCTAATAAAAAAAAAGCTCCTGCATAGAGTAAAATTTGCAGAATTGTGCAAGCTAAAAAGTCACGCAAGTTGCATAATCGACATTTCACAAAACGCGGCTTTCAGTACAATTTTGAATCTTTGGGGGGGAGGTTGTGTTTGACATCCGAGTCCACAAAGCCCTGACCACATGTACTTTCCTGCCACTAATTTCCCCCAAATTAACCACTGTGCCCCACCACAGGAGCTTCCTATAGCTCAAGGTGGGAGAAAGAGCCCTGGCCTTTAATCTTTGGCCTGTTTCTACGCCTACATGTGAGAGTCTGGTGATGCAAGAAAAACCACTCAAGATGTCTGGCTTCTACTCAGGGTCAAGCTAGACCTGGAAGTTAACCACATCTCTTAATCACATGTTTGGGACTGTGTGTGTCAGAGCAGGGGATGTTAACCCTTTCCCCCTATACTATTCTCCTGCTGAGAACTGCCCCTCCTGAGGGAGCGCTTCTAGCAAGTAGCAGCTTGGGGAGGGAGATTTCCTACAAGAACCAAGATGAAGTTGGGAGGTTAACTCTAATTCCCGCTCTTTGCACTGCAGTCCCAATCCAGGTTGGGACCCCCTGAAGCTGCTGTTACTTTTTAAGAGGAGGAGATTTATAAGCACTGGATTCAAAGTTTGTTGTTGTTTAGTCGTTTAGTCGTGTCCGACTCTTCGTGACCCCATGGACCAGAACACGCCAGGCACCCCTGTCCTCCACTACCTCCCGCAGTTTGGTCAAACCCATGCTGGTAACCTCGAAAACACTATCCAACCATCTTGTCCTCTGTCGCCCCTTTCTCCTTGTGCCCTCCATCTTTCCCAGCATCAGTGTCTTCTCCAGGGAGTCTTCTCTTCTCATGAGGTGGCCAAAGTACTGGAGCCTCAGCTTCACGATCTGTCCTTCCAGTGAGCACTCAGGGCTGATTTCCTTAAGAATGGATGCGTTTGATCTTCTTGCAGTCCATGGGACTCTCAAGAGTCTTCTCCAGCACCATAATTCAAAAGCATCAATTCTTCGGCGATCAGCCTTCTTTATGGTCCAGCTCTCACTTCCATACATCACTACTGGGAAAACCATGGCTTTAACTATACGGACCTTTGTTGGCAAGGTGACATCTCTATTTCTCAAGATGCTGTCTAGGCCTGTCATTGCCCTTCTCCCAAGAAGCAGGCGTCTTTTAATTTCGTGGCTGCTGTCACCATCTGCAGTGATCATGGAGCCCAAGAAAGTAAAATCTCTCACTACCTCCATTTCTTCCCCTTCTATTTGCCAGGAGGTGATGGGTCCAGTGGCCATGATCTTCGTTTTTTTGATGTTGAGCTTCAGACCATATTTTGCGCTCTCCTCTTTCACCCTCATTAAAAGGTTCTTTAATTCCTCCTCACTTTCTGCCATCAAGGTTGTGTTATCTGCATATCTGAGGTTGTTGATATTTCTTCCAGCAATCTTAATTCCAGCTTGGGATTCATCCAGCCCAGCCTTTCGCATGATGTATTCTGCATATAAATTAAATAAGCAGGGAGACAAAATACAGCCTTGTCGTACTCCTTTCCCAATTTTGAACCAGTCAGTTGTTCCATATCCAGTTCTAACTATAGCTTCTTGTCCCACATAGAGATTTCTCAGGAGACAGATGAGGTGATCAGGCACTCCCATTTCTTTAAGAACTTGCCATAGTTTGCTGTGGTCGACACAGTCAAAGGCTTTTGCATAGTCAATGAAGCAGAAGTAGATGTCTTTCTGGAACTCTCTAGCTTTCTCCATAATCCAGCGCATGTTTGCAATTTGGTCTCTGGTTCCTCTGCCTCTTCTAAATCCAGCTTGCACTTCTGGGAGTTCTCGATCCACATACTGCTTGAGCCTTGCTTGTAGAATTTTAAGCATAACCTTGCTAGCGTGTGAAATGAGTGCAATTGTGCGGTAGTTGGAGCATTCTTTGGCACTGCCCTTCTTTGGGATTGGGATGTAGACTGATCTTCTCCAATCTTCTGGCCACTGCTGAGTTTTCCAAATTTGCTGGCATATTGAGTGTAGCACCTTAACAGCATCATCTTTTAAAATTTTAAATAGTTCAGCTGGAATACCATCCCTTCCACTGGCCTTGTTATTTGCAGTGCTTTCTAAGGCCCATTTGACTTCACTTTCCAGGATGTCTGGCTCAAGGTCAGCAGCCACACTACCTGGGGTGTACGAGACATCCATATCTTTCTGGTATAATTCCTCTGTGTATTCTTGCCACCTCTTCTTGATGTCTTCTGCTTCTGTTAGGTCCTTACCGCTTTTGTCCTTTATTATGGTAATCTTTGTACAAAATGTTCCTTTCATATCTCCAATTTTCTTGAACAGATCTCTGGTTCTTCCCATTCTGTTGTTTTCCTCTCTTTGTTTGCATTGCTCGTTTAAGAAGGCCTTCTTGTCTCTCCTTGCTATTCTTTGGAAATCTGCATTCAATTTCCTGTATCTTTCACTATCTCCCTCGCATTTTGCTTGCCTTCTCTCCTCCGCTATTTGTAAGGCCTCGTTGCACAGCCACTTTGCTTTCTTGCATTTCCTTTTCATTGGGATGGTTTTCGTTGCTGCCTCCTGTACAATGTTACGAGCCTCCATCCATAGTTCTTCAGGCACTCTGTCCACCAAATCTAAATCCTT